GGAGAGGGCTCAGGCGTGTTGCTGTGGGTGCGTATGCTTGGAGTGGGGAATGGTTCAGGGCAGGGAGAGTTACTAAAACTGACCCTAGATTGTTAGGGCATCACTAACTAATAAACTCCAGACAGACACTTAAATTCTTTAACAGGGTCGGAGCGGTGGCTCATGCCTGTAATCCTAGCACTCTGGGAGGCTGGGGTAGCAGGATCGCTTGAGCTCAGGAGTTTGAGACCAGCCTGAGCAAGAGCAAGACCCCGTCTAGAAAAATAAATAAATAAATAAAATAAAAATAATAAATTCTTGACCTGAAGAATATCTACCTACATGAAACTTATTTGCTACACATGTAAAGAGAGAAATAGATCATCATGTGGTTACCGTTTATTGTGCCATGACTATGCATCAGTCTCACTGCTAAGTAAGCCCTTGACAGACACCTCATTTCATCCTCATTAACAACCCAGTGATGGTGACACTAGTGTTATCCCATTTCCTAGATGGGAAAACACAGGCTTAGACAAGTTAAGTAACTTGCCCAAGATGACACGGTCAGGATCAGACCCGGGCCTGTCTGACTCCAAACCCACATTCCCGCCTGCTACTATGACCCTGCCTGCCTCCTACTTAGGCTGTAGAAGATTCATTTCCGGCTCCCAGAGGTGAAACCCCAGAGGCAGGAGTTTATTTATTTATTTACTTAGAGACAGGGTCTCTCTCTGTCACCCAGGCTGGAGTGCAGTGTCATGATCATAGCTCACAGCAACCTCCAACTCCTGGGCTCAAGCGACTGTCAGGAGCTTTTATTCTAAAAAGTAGGTCCAGGCTGGCTGGAGGGGAGTAAAGGAAACTGCTGTGTTGAGAGCAGGTGCTCAGCTCAGACCAGTGGCGGCAGCAGGTGGTGCCCCCTGGTGGTAATAGCGAGGAAGGGCAGCAGGATGGGAACACTGAGTTGCTTGGGTTTGGCCCGTGAGTGGGGCACAGAGACACAGCAGTGTCCCTGGAGAAGAGAGCAGATTCGGTCAAGTCATGCTGCCCCAAGCAAAGGAGTAGGGCCTGTCTCCTTTCCTGGAGCCCGGGAGATGTCCTCGTGCCTTCTGCCCACCCCAGCCAGGCGCTGATCAGAGGCAACACACGCCAGTAGTCCAAATGACATCACCAAACGCCAGCTGAGATCTTATCATGCAGACCTAGCATTTGTGCCTAAATTCAGGCTCCTGCACATAACATAGTGGCATCATCTCAGTTACAGTTTGAGGCCAGCCCTTGGGCTAATATAGGCATAAGTCTGGTAACCAAAGAGGGTAACTCTCATGGCTGGATATTGGATGGACTGGTTGATTGATTTTGCTTACAGGAGCTAGACCTCGTGCCGGGGATGCCCTGGGGACCACCATTCCCATAGCTCCCGGGGCCACCTCGCCTGGAATCAGATGAGGACAGTAAGTAAGACAAGACAGGAAGTGCTCTGTAGCTGGGGAGCACAGAGGGGGGTGGGGATTCTGCTGGGAGAGCTGGGGACAGTAGGACATCAGGTTTTATTTTTTTTTTTGAGACAGAGTCTCACTTTGTTGCCCAGGCTAGAGTGAGTGCCGTGGAATCAGCCTAGCTCACAGCAACCTCAAACTCCTGGGCTCAAGCAATCCTACTGCCTCAGCCTCCCGAGTAGCTGGGACTACAGGCACGTACCACCATGCCCAGCTCATTTTTTCTATATATATTAGTTGGCCAATTAATTTCTTTCTATTTATAGTAGAGACGGGGTCTCGCTCTTGCTCAGGCTGGTTTCGAACTCCTGACTTCGAGCAATCCGCCCACCTCGGCCTCCCAGAATGCTAGGATTACAGGCGTGAGCCACTGTGCCCGGCCAGGACATCAGGTTTTAAAACATGGGGATACCTCGGTGTTTGCCATACCTCTGTTTTGAGCCTCTTGAATATGAATTATGAAATGTATTGACACTGAGAATAAACACAGAAACAGAATGACAAATGGAATCTCCTATGTTTCTCCCCTTACCTGCAGTGTTTGTCCTGGAGTGGGGACAGGCTCCTGTCCTGGGGAGGGAGCAGGGTGAGTGGGTGCAGGGCGCAGGTGGGACTGAGAATGCCTGTGCTCTATTTCAGGCTCCTATCACTGACTCACAGTGTGACCTTGCTAAGGTCACAGCTCGAACCAGAGGTGGCAAAGCTTGCGTTTTCCCCAAGGTAGGGGAATCCTGGAATATGGGGGACAGCCCTAATCCCCACAACCCCCAGCCATGTCCGGTCCTGCTGCTTTTAATGAAAAAATGCTTAGATTTGGATCCCAGGAACTTTGGGGACACTCAAAGCAGCAAGTAGTTCCTGCCATGGCAAGAATTACAGCTACTTTTATAACATAGGCGGTGTTTCTCCAAATACTTTTCCAATCCTGTTCCCATACAAATACCCCCAGGTGGCCCTCACCTGTCTGTGGAGGGGGAGAGAGGGAAGGTATTTTCTCTTAGTTTCAGGATGAGGAAATCAAGGCTAGGAGTGGTGTTTCTTAACTGGTTCATTGCCAGAAGTCCTTTTTGTCATTTAACTACCATGCATCCCCCTTGTTTTGTAAGCCCTTGTCAGCCAAATACTCCGCATTTATTCAGTAAAGATTTATCTTTGTTTTCATTAATTAAAGTCACCAGTTCAAGTTTCTGCCCTGCTACCACCGAGTTCACTGTCAAGAATTGCAGCATTTATTCTGGGTGACCTACTCAAAGGTAAAGGCCCAATTTGCACCAGACTTTTTGAAATTTTGAAGACTTTATTTATCTTCAAGAGACCCAGGGACCGAGGCTGGGAGGTCCCCAGGAAGATCAAATAAGCTGTGAAAGATTCTGTGGCGAGCGCAGAGGCCAGGACCAGATCCGGGGGCTTGACTTGTAGGCCAGTGCACCAGCCAACCAGACTGCTTGGCACGGACGGCTGTGTGCAAACTCTGACATACAGACACACGGGCGCACACGTGCAAGATGACAGCCCACCCAAACACAGGTGTCATGAAGCAGTAACACTAAGAGCTCAAACAAGTACTGGAATGAGCAGCCAGCACCAGGCCTGAGATTGGAGAAGTGCAACAGATAGTCTCAGAGTGATTTGCAGGGTTGTAAGGGTGGAGGATGTGTTTATTCTGCCACCTGCCTGCGCTTTGTGTGACTTCAATAATTTATGCATCCTTTATGTAGGCTGAGGCATTTCCACCCACTCTTGGAGCATTCAGACCTTTCCCCCAGCACCTGCCTCTTGAAAAGCATGAGATCAGAGGGGGTAGGGGAAGCTGAGCCCTGGAAACCAGGATGACAACAGCAAGAGCAAGTCGGGGTCCCTGGGCTAGTGGGGACAGACACGGGGAACTTCGGAGGTCTGGCTTGGTGGCCTGGGATATAAGCAAGGAAAGAGCTGCAGTGTCTCAAATCTTCCCCTGGGTCTCCCCCTGCCTTCCTCCAGGCCCTGCCAATACTCTCCTTTGTTGCGCTCAGCTCTGTCCCAGAGGCTCAGTGTTTTGATCCCACGGCTCAGAGCATCAAGACTGCGTGTACCCGTGTACCACTGGAGAAGGCTGGGGGCTTAGCTTTGTGGCTTCAGAACCTGTGGCTCCACCAATCCGGGGGGTGGGGGTGGGGGGGGGGGGGGGGGGGGGGGGCAGGGCAGGGTCTCTGGGGGCCTGTTGCTCAACAGCTGTTCCCTGGGTTATTTTGGTCCAGTGGGAGCTTATCGATTCCAGGGTGTTTGGACCAAAATAGCCAACAGCAGGACAATCTCTTGGTGGCTCTGTGGGGACCTCCCCAGAGAGAAGTTTCTAAAATGGGCGGGTGCAGAGGGAAAGGAGTTTGGCTTGGGGGTTGGTGAAGAGGGAATCCTCCTGCCAGTGTCTGAGGCTAACCTCGCCCACTCCCAGATGGCCTTTCATTTCAGCTCATTGGCAGCTCCCGGACCACCTGCCTAGGCCATAAAAGCTGGGGGTTTGATGGGGGGAGGGAAGGAAAAGATAATTTTTGAACTTTGGCACTCCTCCAAAGCTGGAGGCATACCTATTACCCTTTCCCGTTTCACAGATAGGGTTAACCTGGTCCAGAACGGCAGAGGCACCAGGCTGGGCCACCCAGCTCAGAACCCAGGCCTGGTGACCCCAGGCACAGTGCGGCCAGCTGGGCCTCTGTCAGACCGGCAGCTGATCTCTGCCCGGTGGATGCCAGTTCCGTGGAGAGGCCGGGCCAGCATGGAAAGTGCTGACTGGCCCTGGCCTTCCTTCGAGCCACAGCGGGCCCTGGCAGCTGCCTGTCTTGCTCACTGTCCCACCTCACTAAGATGGGTCAAGTGCGGGTGGGGGAGGGGAGAGGAAGACCAGCCACTCTCTCCTTGGAGTCCCGCCCAAAGTCGGGTCAGCAGCCCCTGGCTCGCCCGAGAGCCTGTGGGGATTATCCCTGGAGCAGAGTCAGAGTGACCCGGGTCCCACCCTTTTGGTAACGGGGTGGCGCGGGGGGGGTGAGCTTTGGCAGCAGGCGGGCACGAGGTGCGGGGCGTATACCCCGGACACGCTCTATGGACACCGCTCCGGGGGCTCGGGGGTCACTGAACTTAGACGTCAAGTGTCGCCGGCGGAGTCCGCGCGGCGGGTCTTATCTTCTGGTCTCGGAAATAAGCTGCCCGGGTGGGGCTGTGTTTGGCGACAGCAACTCAACCACCCCTACCGCTCCCGCCTCTCCCCGGGATTTTCCAGCGGGTTAATTTCCTGTCCGGGTAAATCCTTTCGCGAGTCCCTCGCCCCTCCCTCCCCGCCTCTCCGCTGTCTGTCCCCGCCGCCCGGGCTCCCCGAGTCGGTCCGCGCTGCGCTCCGTCGCCCCCGCGCGCCCGGGCGCACGCCTTCCTGGCCCGGGCCGCCCTCCGGCTCCCCGCGCCCGGCAGCCGGGCCCGCCGCGCGCCCCGCGCCAGGGCTCGCTCCGAAAGCCGCGTCCGCGTCGCCGCGGCCGCGCGGGCCCCTCGGCCATGCGCCCCAGCGCTGTCCCCCGCGCCCCCGCCTGCGCCACCGCGGCGCTCGGGCTCGGCAGCCTCCTCCTGCTGCTGCCGCTCGCGCCCGGGCACGCGTGCCCCGCGGGCTGCGCCTGCACCGACCCGCACACCGTGGACTGCCGCGACCGCGGGCTGCCCAGCGTGCCCGACCCCTTCCCCCTGGACGTGCGCAAGCTGCTGGTGGCCGGCAACCGCATCCAGCAGATCCCCGAGGACTTCTTCATCTTCTACGGCGACCTGGTGTACCTGGACTTCAGGAACAACTCGCTGCGCTCGCTGGAGGAGGGCACGTTCAGCGGCTCGGCCAAGCTCGCCTTCCTCGACCTCAGCTACAACAACCTGACCCAGCTGGGCGCCGGCGCCTTCCGCTCGGCGGGGAGGCTGGTCAAGCTGAGCCTGGCCAACAACAACCTGGCGGGCGTGCACGAGGCCGCCTTCGAGACCCTGGAGTCGCTGCAGGTGCTGGAGCTCAACGACAACAACCTGCGCAGCCTCAGCGTGGCCGCCCTGGCCGCGCTGCCCGCGCTGCGCACCCTGCGCCTGGACGGGAACCCCTGGCTTTGCGACTGCGACTTCGCCCACCTCTTCTCCTGGATCCAGGAGAACGCGTCCAAACTGCCCAAAGGTGAGCGCGCCCGCTGGGCTGGAGGGAGGGAGCAGGGACAGGCCACCACTATCCTGCGTCTGGGCGCCAGGAGCCCTGGCCAGCCCCCGGGGTGGAGGGCGGGACTCAGGTTGAGTCTGGAGGAGGAGGCTTGGGGGCTCGGACCAAGTGCCCTGGGTGAGAGTTGCTCCGGTAACACTAAAAGGTTCCCAGCCTGAACTTTTCCTGGGTCTCTGCTGGAGAGGGTCGTGGAAAGGACGCATCTGGAATTCTCTGGAGTTTCTGGGCCCCGAGGCCATACTTTTCCCCGTTTCTCCAATAACTCACTTTTCCAAGTGAGGGACGTTTCAGTTTTGGAGAGTGACCGGGATCATCTCACTGGGCTTTGAGTCCTAGGACTGGTGGCTGCAGGTTACTGTTAGTTCCCTTTTAAAGTGGAGGTCCCCCTCCTGTGTGAGGAACAGCCCCATTCTCAGTGCCCTGGACAGGGAGGGCCAGGGCTTGTCAGGGCTCCTGAGCAGCGTCTGGGGCCTGAGCTGATCTCTCAGCTTCTCAGACCCGGTTTGCTCTTCTGCCTAAAAGGGGAGCAATAATCCCGGTAGGGGTGGCGGCGCCGGCTAAGATCCAGTGATGCAGTAATGATTGATAGTTCTGGGGCTTTCAGCCCAGATGTGAAAAAGCTGAACAAAAATGTAGCGGCCTGTGCCCCCTTTGCTTCCCTGGCGTACCCTTCCAGGGGCACCTTCCAGCTATGTGTGGCACGGGCACCCTTACCCACTGGCGGACAAGAACACAGGGCGGGGGGAGTTGGGGGCCCCATGCAGGCCAGCAGGAAGGAAGCAAAGGCTGAGCTGAGAAGGAGGGGACTGCAGCATCCGTAGGGAGGAGCACCTGGACAGGGGCCGGTGGGTGTCCTTCTCTCAGTGGCCTTCCACTGTGAGCCTGTGAGCGCCGGTGCCCACAGTGACCTCCCAGAGCGGGACCCCGCTTCCCACCTTGCTACCAAGGCTGTGCAGAGTTGGAACCAGAGCTGTAAGGCGCCCATTATAAAAGGTTTTGCACCTGCAGGTTTAGCTTCAGTGTATCGTTCTCTCCATTTACTGAGAAGTCGCGGACGTTGCTCATCCATGTGCGGAATCCCTGTGTCCCCTTCTTTTCTCTGTTATAAGTACATACTCCACGCGGGGGGTGGCCACTCCTCAGCAGATGCAGGAAGCCCCTGAGCGGGCACTGTCAGCCCAGGCCGGCTCTACCACGGGAGCAGTTCCTAAAGAGATCCTGCCTGCAAGGTGCAGAGTCCCCCAGCTTTAAACTTTGTCCTCGTTCACTTGCCTGGCTCCCCGGACCTATCCCACCGGAATCTGTCCCCAGGACAGGAGCGCCGGGATGAGGACCTCACCCAGGGATGGGCGTACGCCCTGGCTCTGGTTGTTCCTGCCTTTGCTTTTTGGCGAGGTTGGCATCAGTCACCCCCTTTGCTGGCTGGGTCGGTGTAATTGGCTTCCACTGCTGTCCGGATGGAGGAGTGGTGTTAGGAACAGGAGCTTCGGGTTTCAGTCTCAGTTCTGTTATGGGTGGCTGTGGCCTCCAACAGGCCACTTATCCTGTCTGGCCCTCGGTTTCTTCATCTCTAGATTTGAGTTGGCCTCTGAGAACTCCGCAGAGCCCTGGATGTGGAGTCTGAGACGTGTGTTTGAGTCCTGGCTTAAAATCCGGGGGGCTCTGGGTAGGTCACTTCGATTTTTGAAGTTGCACCTTCCCCACGTGTGCAGCTGGGACATGGGTGATGCTGCCTCGTCCGTCTGACCAGGTGGCTGTCAGGGTCAAGATGAGGTGATGTGGCTGAAAGTAACAAGCAGTATGAATGTAGCGTGTTTCTCCTCCTCCTGTCCATGGTATCAGGAAGAAAATGGACACTAGCTGGGGGGAAGATGGACAGGTTCTTAGCAAGGAGCAGTGTCCAGGGCCCTGGGGACAAGGCGGGTGCAGGAGGAGGTTGGTCTCATCCAGTGGGGAGGGGATGGAGGCAGCTCGAGTGCGGCCTGAAGGCTTCTGGCACCTCCCAGGGTGCCAAGAGCAGCTCTGGGCTCACAAGCTGCCGGTGCTTTGTGGCCATAGCAGTGTCCCCCGACCGTGCACCATAGGGCGGGTGGGCAGTGCAGGAGCTGGCACAGACCTTGAAGCGAGAGATTCAGATTTCTGATTCTGGGCAAGCCTCTGACCTCTCTGAGCCTCAGTTTCCCTGCCTCTGCATTCAGAATGTAGCAATAGCATCCTCTACCATGTTTGCCGTGAGATCAACTCTGCAAAGGATGTATTTGCGCTTAACGAAGCAGCAGGTGCTGTGTAGCTGATAGATGTTAATCGCTCCCCTTCCCTCCTCCTGCATGTGAGCTGCTGCTCATACTTCTCGAAGAGGCAGCAGGGCCGCGTGGCTACCAGCGGGGCTCTGGCACCAGCCTCTTGCCTTCACATCCTGCCTCTACTTCTTACTCGTGTAACCTTTCTGTATTCCCAGTCTCCTCATCTGTAAAATGGGGATGATACAGTAAAATGGGGATATCTACCTCATAGGCTCATTGGGAGGATTAAAAGGGTGTAAGTTAAGAGTACTTAGAGCAGTACCCAGCACACAGGAAGCACTGTGTAAGTGTTGGTGCTGTTGTTATTATCGTATGTTAACTAGAAGGCTCTGAGCAGTGATGTGCAACTTGCCAAAGATCACACAGAGGGTTAGAAATGGACCTGGGTGATGCACCAGGACCTCCTGGCTCCCGGCCCCCTGCCACGCCGACCACCCACTTCCTGCCAGAGAAAGTCACTCCATCAGGGACCAAGCACCAAGCTTTCTAGGCAGGCGCTCTGCCTCTTCCTGGGCGGGAATTGAAAGGAGCAAAAAGGATCCTGTCTCCGCTGCCTGTCCCTTGCCTCTTCTGCCCCCACCTCCCCCACAGACACAGAGCTTTCTCCCTGTGACCTTGACTGGCTGTGACAGTTGCAAAAATGTGTTGTCTGCCAGTTGAGCCTCCCCTTGTGGCCACAGGGCTGATGGGAGTGCTCAGCCCCAGAGCTCTCAGCAGAAGGGAGGACGAGACACCGTCAGGACCACTGGTGCCCTTGGTCCAGGCTCCTCTAGGGTCCGGGGGTGGGAAGGTCTGGGTCTGAGGACTGAGAGCGAGCTGCCCTGCTGGGGGCAGGGGGGCCCAGGGGATGCCAGAACACCTAGCTGCCAATTAGCAAAAAACAAAACACGACAATACAACAAACAAAAAAATAATTTAAAAATATTATTTGCCGTTTATCTGAAATTCCACATTCATTGGGCGTCCTGTGTTTTATCTGGCAACTGACTTGGTAGCTTACAAGTGCTGCCTCTTTTAATGCAACAGCCATGCCTGGGAGAGACCTTTACCCACAATTTACCCAGCAAGAGATAAAGGCAGTGCAAAGAAGGGAAGTGGTTTGCACAAGGTCACGTAGTTAGTAGCTGAGATAAGCCTCACCCAGGAGCGTCCAACCCCACACCCGATTGGTAGAAAGAGAGAGTGGGACCACCCCGACTCACGTCTCCCCCAGTCTCTGATTCTGCTGGGTGGCAGCAGCCTGTGTCCTCCTTCCAGACCCAGACTCTGCACCTGGTCTGGTGGTTTTTCCCTGAGACATTGGGGTTCCAGGCAGTTTGGGACGGTGGGTCGCCAAGGGGACCATGATGATCTCTCTTTAAGTAGACAGGGCACCAGACCTGGTAGCAGGGGCCTTGGAAATGACTCAGGTGACCTGGCGGCGCAGAGACGGAGAGAGTGGGGAGGGCCCGCAGGAGGCCAGGAGGCAGCAGCAAGGACACCCTTTTCACAGATGGGTGATCTTCAAGCCTTTCATGTCACATCGTCACATTGTCTTCCCTTTACAGCAGCCCAGCAAAGTAGGCAGGGAATGAAGACACAAAAACGGGGAGCATGGTGGTGTTTCTCCAAGTGCCGTCTGAGAGCCAGCTGTGCGTGGATCTCTGGGGGAGCTCAGTTGAAGTGCAGATTCCTAGGCCCCAGACCTACTCCTGACCAGGCCTGGGGACCTGCAGTCAACAAGCCCCGTAGCTCCTTGGGATTGCTGTGCGCATGCAAGCCTGAGAACAGCTGCTGGAGCCGGAAGGGCTGGGCTCAGCAACTCACTCGCTGTGTGACTGTGTATACGTTGCCTGTCGTCTCTGTGCCTCAGAGTTTTCTCTTGTAAACAAGGAGTGTAGGTCGGGGGATTGTGAGGCTCCTTCCAAGTCTGGAATTCTATGGTTTCAAGGGAGGAGAATAGTGACTTGGTTTTGAAAATTGAGAATTTGCAGCTAGGGGTGGGGGGGCCAGGTGCCCTCCAAAAACCCCTCTGTGGGATTTCAGGGCTGTTCTAAGGCCAGCAGGCACAGGGCTGTCTCTGTGCTGGGCTCTGGAGGGGCATGGAGCAGGTGACACAGCCCACGCCATGACCAAGAATGCACCACGGGAGAGGCACATGCAGGCGTTGGGGGTGGTGGTGCTGCATTTGCCAGGCAGCCTCCTGCACCTCCCTCTCTTGCTATGGCCACGTGTGGCCTGTGGTCACTGTCCACGGTACTAGGGAAGGGATGCGAGCTGATTCCCTCGTCCTGCAACCTTGACACATGGAGGAATAAGGAGGGAGGGTTGGGAGGATGGGTGGATTCGGAATTAAACAGGACCACCTGTCAGACCTTGGGTCTGCAAACCCTGTCCCTGAGTGGGGACAGCTTCCTAGAGAGGGTTCACTAAGTCTTCTGGAGTGTCCGAGCATTCAGGGGCTCAGATCCCTGGTGGGGCGGACCCTGTGGGAGGTGTCCTCACTAGGAAGGGGCGTCATGGCAGGCAGGTGCTCCCAAAGCCCCATCACCAACCCCACCTGCTTACCAGGCCTGACTAGGGGATTGCTGGGGGAACCCACCCCACCGCCTGGTAACTCTACCTCCCTTTTCTGCTGTCAGACACTTAGGGCCTGGTTTGGTCAGACGAGTGGGGACT